TACAAAATTCATATTATAATACTACATTTATAAATTCATACTACAACATTTATAATTAAAAAAAAAGATAAAAATTAAATTTTTTATATTATATAATTAAATAGATAAATAGTAAAAACTAAATATTATTAACTAAAAATAAATATTATTTACATAATAAAATTAATTAAAATTTATGTTTAAAAAAATATTGTTTGTGTTGCAAACTTGAGAGCTTCACTTTAGCTATTTAGTCCACACATCACTTTGACACTTGTCTTAGTATTATTTATATAGTTTTTTTGAGTTGAAAGAGTAAACAAATCACATGAATGGTGTGACCATATAAATAAGCTTAATTGGAGCTTGTTTTACAAATGATTATTATAAAAAATTGAAGTGATTTTAAAATTAAATAATACAAAAATAACAACAACAACAACATCAAGCATTTACCCCACTACGTACATGAATCATTTTTCTCCATTGTATCCTGTTAAGTCTAATTCTCATTTAAATATAAAAAAGAAATGTCATTTCTAATATTTTCTAACCACTAGTTCGAATCAATTTTTTTGGTTCAATGTGAAAAGGGTTCTAGAAAAAATCCGGACCGGCTAGCCGATCTATTCCCGGTTGAACCGGCCAAACTAGGCGGTCCAGTCCAGTTTTTAAAACAATGGCTATCATTCCTTTTCATTTTCAAAAACTAATTAATTGCTCAATAAAAATAAAAAGTAAATGAATTTGAGAAGATGCTAGAAAATAATGAAAGGCCCATAAACAAAATTCATCTTGTTAATTTCCTATAAGGTATAGAAATTGAAACCACAACCATGAAACAAAGGACAGACGGAAAAAACAAGCAAATATGGTAAAATCAGTAAGTATCAAAAGCACGAAAATGCGCGTAAAACCCTTAATAAAAAAGTCAAGGATCGAATATTTTCTATTATAGGTGTATTTTCCCCAAACAAGTGAACAAATGAAATAATGATGGGAAATTTTGCTAAATGATAAATGATCAAATAAGCTAATACAAGATGTCATCATTAGTACAATCTAATTCTTAGAAATGCGCATAAAACTATTAAATACCTCATGAAAAAATATACTTTCAAGTAACAAATGGGAATAGTAGAATGTGTTCTACTTTGGTAATGCTCAATACCTTGTACTGCTTTCCAGTAGTTTTCCCACTCTTTCGAGTTTTAATCTCCAAAATCCATCCAGAAGGCAACCATTCAAGAGATTCTTTCATTTCTTCTACATGCTAATAACAAGAAGATAATTAACTGCAGTAAGGCACAGACTACTGGGTGATATCTATCACTATTAACTGCAATAACAATAAGCTTACTTGCTTATTGCTTTCATTAGAACACGATGCTCTTCTAGAAGCGCCATCACCATGCTTTTCACCACTAAGATGGTGCAAAACCTCCTCTTTGGACTTGAATGTACAACCAGACACAGGGGATCTATAACACTACTCAGTGCACAAATAAAACAAAGTAATCTTAAGTTAGTAAATAAAAAGGAGAGCATCCATCTCCACAGAAAACAGGAAATTTCATCAAGATTTAATTACAGACAGGCATCAACAATATGACAGGGCAGCATAAAGATACACAAAGGAATAAATGTAAAACAACTATCTTATAATTTGCATAGTCAAAATGAGGCTATTAAATAAATAATGTCAGCGTATGTGGTATTCAATCAAAATATTTAATTGTTAACATCAATGAAAATGCAACATGCCCTATGGAGCAATACATCATCGGTTGCATCCACGTGCAACAGCTCATGATAAACAAGTTTTGGCAGCCCAAAATAGAAAGATGCAACATCCGTATTCAATCAATGTAGAATAGGCAATTACAATAAATCTGGCTAATATATCACTTTCCCACGTTTGTAGTTAACCAGAATAACATAAAACATCAGAACAAATTTGATTTTCAAATCCAACAATTGGCCCAGCTTGGTCGCACTTAATTGGCCATAGTTTTCAGTCACTATAGTCGACCATAAAATGATATAAGTATAGCCAAACGTGGAGATATGGCTCAAGGTTTTCTAGTTAAAACTAGCCAAGGAATTTAGAAGAAGCATTCAGTAAAGCTTGGTTCAAACACTTGGATGACAATCAAGATCAAAGGCTGAAATATCATTCAACATTTACTTTCAATGGTCAGAGCAATAGTGGAAATGATAAATAAATAATTCCAATTCAAAACATGCCAGAATGGTTTAAGATGATCTTTAGTTTAGCATGGTCAACTTTGTTCTTAAAAACTAGAAATGGAAAAAATTCATCTAGTCCTTGGTTCAAGGCTTTGCCTGAGTTACTCATGATTGGCATATGAACATCATTAATATCGGATCATGTACATCAATAAAGAGAGAAAAAGCTCAAAATAGTTTTATGATTATTCATATGTGGCCAACTAAGTCCAAGAGTATCACATTTCTCCAATGTAGTGTCCAAAATATACAAAATTAATCCCAACTACTCCATCGATGACTAAATCAGGATCAATTTTGTGCAGTCAAGAGAATAAATTAGGATAAATTGTATCCCAATTTCAGACAATATGTACTTATGAGATCATTTGGAATCAATAATGTATAGTATAGAGACTAAGGGGTTGTTTGGTATGCACAATTAGGAGGGTAGAGTAATTTACTTGCGCGTATTTCCTAAATTACTTCGTTTGGTTGGTTTTGAGCGGAAAGTAAGGAATTCCTCTGAAGGATCAGCGGCGTATTACAGAGTCTGTTTCGTGCGACTTCAAAACCCGCTCAAATTGAGCGGGTTAGAAATCCTCTCGCGTGAAATACTGCCTTATGAGCGAGAGCCACTGACCAACGGGAACGCGGTTCTCGGCGTCGAGGATGTTGCCGGCATTTAGCGGCACGATTTCTTGGAACCTGCCGGTCGTCAGAATAGTTAGGAGGGTTAGAGCTTAGGCGGGGAAAAATTCAGCATTGTCATCTAAATTGCTTGTCAAGATCCAGAAGGGGAAACTTCAGAATAGAAATCTCCATGATGTTCCTGTTCAGGTAGTTTGAAAATTTCTGCAATTCATATATCATAATTGTTCTTCTTCCTCTTTGCGATTGGAGAAAGGAAATATTTTTCTGATTTTTTTGTCATATTTGAAATAAAATTTAGATGACGCTTCTGATTGGAAAAGCTATGAAGTGGTGGGAGAAGGGGATACAACCTAACATGAAGGAGATTACTTCAGCTCAGGAACTTGTGGATTCCTTGTCGAGAGCTGGTGACAAGCTTGTTATTGTTTATTTCTTCTCTCCTGGTTGTGCTGGTTGAAGAGCCCTGCATCCACAGGTTGGTTTATGGGCATACAAATTGCTTTTTTTTTACTCATGTATTTTACTTCTATTGTTCATTTTCATCTTGGTTTATGATTTTTATTTTTTTAATTGCAGATATGCCAATTTGCTGAAAGGACTCCTTATGTTCTTTTTGAAGACCGGCTGGAGGAAGCGGAAAAAGAGAGAAACGAGAACAAGCAAATAACATAGATAGAAAGGAGTATATTATTATTAATGTCTGTATGATGAGGACATCAGAGGTCTACGGCTACGATCGTGCCTATTTATTTTGATATATTTTATGTATTTGATTTGTTATTGTTCTTTTTCCCATTCTACCCTCACTTGAGGACTTTGTCTTATGGATGCCCTAGGGGCAATAGTGTCTTTGTTATTTCCCCTTCATGTATTTTGGCTATTTAAAGCCACCCTCTTCCTTTGGAGAGGTTAATGAATGATTATTATGAAAAATTTCTTGCACTTGTGTGTTTGAGAGCATTTGAGAGTTCTTGGAGAGAATTTTGGAGAAATCCCTTAGGAGAGAAAAATTTGGATCACCCACCAACCTTGGAGACGGCCGGGTTCGTTGTTCTTTATTCTTTCTATCAAATTTTCTTCCCTCTATTCTTCTAGCCACCGGCCTAAGGAGTTCCCAAAATCCCTTACCGCTGGCCACCCTTTTTTCTTTCCTAACCACCGGCCACCCAATTCTCCACACTTCCTCTCTCACCCGACCACCACCTTTCCCCAATTCCATCCTTTTTTTTCTCTCCTAGCCGCTGGCCTAAGGAGCTCCCAAACTCTTGCCACCGGCAACCCAATTCCCACCTTGCCTCCAACTATACAATCTTCACTTGAATAGTTTTCCTTCCTTACTTAACCCCCTTTGGGAAAGTTATTTACTTTGAATTAATTAATTCAAATTTGAAATTTGAAACCTTTCCTAAAATAGAATCCTATTTTAGGAAAGTTTCTAAAAATCAAGTTTAAATTAATTTAATTTGGATTGGATATTTAATTTCATCATAATTAGTAAATCCCAATGAGAAAAGCATTGAACTTGATTTAATCTTCCCTCCACACCCACTTAACGCTGACCCCCTAGTGGGATTCATGGAAAATTCTTTCGAAAACTCCAACCCCTCTCTAGGAAAAATTTCAAAGCCCTCTCTACCTCCTTTGGCTGAATCCTCTCTAGCCCCACTTAATTAATTTATTTCCATTGGATAAATTCTCCAATTGGAAATCAATTAATGCCCTCCCTTCTTTCATGCCCGTCGCCCCCCTCTCTCTTCTCTCCCTTCCTTTAATTACTCTCAATCAAGAGGATAATTAGGAGGTGTTTGAATTGAAATTTCCCCCCACCTAAACCTCCCAAAAATCTGAACCCAAGTTCCCAAACCCCTTCCCCCCATGGCCGGCCACTTCATCCATCATCTTCCTTGAGGGTTTTTGAGATAAGCTCCTCCTTCTCAATAGGAGCCTCCAAGGGAAGTACCAACTAGCGTGCTCACCATCTTGAACACTAGAGAAACTTCTTTTTCTCTAAGTTGAACCTTCAAGAGAACTACGACGAAGTCCTTCAACATCTCGGCTAATTGTTTCCTGACTTTGACTAAGGTGAACTTCTCCCCTCTTTTCAACTATCTTCCTAATCCCCTAATCTTGTAAGTGATGACGAATCACAAGGAGCCATGCTTCACCTTTGCATAAGCTTAGTAAACGTAGGATTTTATCTCGCCATTGTCAAAGCTTAGTAAACGTAGGATTGAGTGCATTTTTATTTGCTTCTAATCTTATTGTTAGATTAGGAATTTCTGTTGAAGGCTATTCTATTTGCATGACTTGATTTTCTATGTTGTTTTGATAATCCAAGTGCTTAGTGTGTAACTTAGTCTAAACGGAAATGACCACTATTATGTTTTATTTGATCGTTTGGATTTGCTAGTAGTTCTAATCTTAATTGCTTTTATCAAGAAATCGTGCAAATTCTTATTTCATCATTTTAAAGCATATAGTTCTACATCACTATAGGTACAATAGAGAGCTATATACAAAGAATATATGAGCAAGAAGTAAATAATAAGCCATACAATGGCTGACGTGTACATGTGATATAACACTCTTTCTACAAGTGAATTATGAGACGCATAAGTCCATTTGTTATAGCTTGAACGTCCATGTTCTTCCCTTTTTCAGGTTCTACAGGGGAGCAAATGGTCGTCTCTGTAGCTTCAGCTGCACTAATGCCACTGTAAGTTCTGTTCCTTATTGATCCTATGTCGACTATTTGTAGTTATTGTTATGCGATTTCTTGTTTTAAATGATTAAGGGGTTGTTTGGCTACAAGTAGGATTTAGTAAACAATGTAGATCCAATTTTAGTAAATTGTTTAATATGAAAACGATGAAATTTAATAAAGCTTTATTAATTTTGAAAATAGTGGCATTTAACAGATCTTGCGTTAATCCTAGCTAAAATAGGATACCAAACATCCCCTTAATTTCATTTGGTTGTTAATTTCTTTTGGTTGCGATGGCTTGATTAGTGAATATGAATCAATATGCCATTTCATTGCAGATAAAGAAATTTAAGGATGCATTAGCTAAGCACAACACTGAGAGATGCAGCCTTGGGCCAGCCAAGGGGTTAGAAAAGTCTGAGCTATTGGCCTTAGCTGCAAATAAGGATCTTTGCTTCAACTATACCAAGATGGAAGAACCTTTGCTCACTGCACCTGAAGTCAGGAAGCCAGTTTCTGACTTTCTGCCATTAAAGAGCTTCCACTTTCTCTAGTTTCAAAAGCCAGGCAAGAGTCTGAAGATAAAGCCCTGGCTGTTTCTGGGAGATAAGATTTAAGTTTATTGTGGTGGCTTAATCAGACCTTTCATATGTATTTCTGTACAGGTCTTTAATTTTTTTCCCTTGATGTTTATAAAAATTGTCCTTTGATAAAGGCTTCCTCCAAAGTCTGTTGAATGAGAATGCAAGTTCATGGTAGCTCATTTCAGGCTACGTTGTTTTTGGAGTTTGATAGCCTATTTGATTATGATTATAGAGAGAGATAGCCTGCCTCCTTGAGGTATTTAATTTGTATCAGAGCTTGTTTGATATTTTGTTTATTTTGTTTTCCTTACAGATAGGCAACAAAGTTGATAGATCTTCCATATGTAGTCAAATTATTAATTTTTTTTCTGGTTTTATAGAAATGTTGCTTAGTAGATATAATATATTCTTGTAACGTTTTGATGAAAATACTACCAGATGGATGCATGAGTTTTCATGGTTTCTTTCAAATTATTACAAAAAAATCGTTTTTACTTTACTCTGGATTTACCTAACCAAACAAGGGAAACATTTATCCTACATTTATTTTGCAGACAACCAAACAGTCTCAAAGTATTCAGAATACATTACATTTACTTTACACTGCATTTTCTTTTCAGGCAACCAAACAGCCCCTAAGTTAGTGTGGGATAAAGGCTTGTTGTTGTTGTTGTTGACATAGAGAGATTAAATTAGAGAAATGTGATATTCTAAGATTAAAATGTTCAAACACAAATAATGAAGAAACTATTATTGGAATTCAAATCATGCCAAAAAAACAAAAACAAAAACAATTTTAGATGCAAACATCCGAGAACAAAAATCCAAAACATCCTAGGATCTAAATTATGCTAGATTATTTAGGATTTATGAATTTGGGTAATGTACCTTGATCAGGGATGCAACCGAGTCAAGCCGACTCGCGAGCCGGCTCGGGCACGACTCGTTAATCAGCTTGATGAATCGAGCTTATCGAGCTCACGAGTAGAGCTCGAACAGGATTTCGAGCTAGTTGGGCTTATCGAGGTCGAGTTTGAATAGCCAATCGCTCGACTCGATTACTTGTAGAGTGGCTCACGGAAAGCGGAACTACAGAGGCAGAATGGTGAAAACTTGCATAGCATGCGAACGGCGGTGACGGGACTCTAAACTGCGTGTGATTGGTGCGAACGGCAGATGCGAGCCACGTGACACGGCTTGCTGACACATAATGGAAAACGTGGGCCATGTGGCACTGCTTGCGATTGGTGCGAATGGAGAACGACGTACGCGGGCCACGTGGTCATTACACTGCTTGCGAACGGCGGGCAAACTGCGGATGCGAACAACATAATTGCTACTCGACGAGCTCATTTTCCCCTGACGAGTCGAGCTTGAGCTCGACATTTGAGGTCAACTCGAGTTAGAGCTTGGTATTTGGCTCGCGAGTCAAGCTCTAACACCCCCTGACTCGAGCTCGATTCGACTCGTTTGCACCCCTAACCTTGATTGATTGAGAAAGATTTTCTATTGTTGCGAAAATATTACAACAATTCATCAAGAATAGATGAACACAAATGCGAGGGGAGTGTTTGATCTTTCTCAACCAAATTGCTTAAGTTCCTTTAATGTTGTCTCTCTTCCAAATGGAGAGAAGCGAGATTTTATAGAAACATAAGAGTCTATATAAAATTCCCATAATACCCTAAGAAAAACATCTACTCAATTATTCCATATTAATACAAGTAATTCATGGGCTTATATTAGTTGATGTTAGCCCAAATTAAATTATAAATATATATTACTTTTAAAAAAAGGGATTGTGTTTCTTCCCAAATACAATCCTAACCTTCTATTTTATTTATCAAAGATGAATCTCAACCATTAATTTTATTTATTTATTTAATTTATTTAACATATTTACTTATTTATTTGATTACAAATATGTTTTTTTTAATTTCATTTACATTAATTGCATTTAAGTACGAGCTGACTCTTGAAAGATCCCAAGGATTTTAATTGCATTTATGTTTAAATTCAAATGTGTTTACTTTATATTCTTAGGCAGACATTCTTTCTTAACTCTTACCTCTTCATCTTCTCATGGACCTACCGTTGCCTTCATTTGTTAGAAGCGGTATCGTCAACCTCTGCCAGAAGTGATAATAGCAAGCCAATCCAAAACAACAAACTGTCCTTCTACTCACACTTATTAGTAACTTCCTATAAAGTACAAAACCCTATCAAAATCAGATCTTTAAATTGGTAACAAATGCCTAATACCACTCATCATAGCCTAACAAACCATCAATTTCATTAACATTTCAGCATAAACTAGAAAGAAGATGACAGCTAGGATCATAGGCCTATATCTTATCCAAGAATGATGCAATATAAAACCGAATATGCTCTCAGACACACCATCTCATCTGCCAGTTTTGCAATAGTCGCATACCAAACAAATCTTCAAATGTCCAACAAACATTACAATCAAAATGCATCATTTCAAATGGTAAGCAATCGCAATTCTCAGCATTTAGGCCGTGACAGCATTACATGCTTTAGAAATTCATTTACTTCAAGCAGTCAATCAGAAATCACACCTTCCATCCACTCCACGTATTAAGGTTAAAATTACAACTCTCAATTCCCTATAACGCAGAAAAACCTAGCAACCAAAATCAAATCCGTAAAACATTAACAAATACCTATCGCTCCCTCATCAGAGTCTAATACAACAATTTGTTTTTATGGATTTCTGTCATAGCACCACAAAATCAAATTCAACAAATAGAAACAAGAGAATCAGATCAATCCGCTCCAGTAACGTAAAAAGGAACAGTAATGATAAGAAAAAATATGCACAAAAAGAAGAACCTGAGGTTCTTTAGCACAGAACTTATCAATCTTAACTTCCTATGTCTGGAATTTCTGAACTCCATCATCCATTCATCCGACAGGCTGACTGCCAGTTTTGCACTAAGCTTCTACACAAACCTAGACCTTTTCAAAATGCTAAATAATCGAAATGTCACCATCTCTTCCACAGAGACAGCATGCACTTAAGAATTCATTTACGTTAAGCAAGTCGATCAGAAATAATAAACCTCCCATCCACTCCGCTCATTAGGGTTTAGCCTAAAATTCCCAATTCCCTACAAATAAAATAAAATAAAATAAACTAGCAATCAAAATCAAATCTTTCCAATTGCAACAAACAACTACTACTAGTTCCCTCATCAGACATCCAATTCCACAAATTTCTAACGAATTCAGTAAAAAACTAACAAAAAGTGAGGACCGTAAAACATAACAAAAACCTTACTTTAAGCCGACAAAGCACGAGAATACGATCGATGCTTTCAACAAATGTTAAAAGGGGAAGCATGGTAAGAAGAATCTGAACTTCGTGAGAAGGGAACAGATTACCCTATACTTGCCACGCCTCGTATTTCGGACCTCCACGGTCCATCCATTCGGTAGCCACTCCGGCGGACTATCCTCCGGCGTTTCGCTAGACGTTTCTCGCAGTCGACGCGTCTTCATAGCTCCGACGTTCTCCTCCGGGCGCCGCCTGGTTCGCCGGCACCTCGCTAGTCATCCGTGCTCTCGCTCCATAAATCCGTCAGTATAGTAGTACCGGAAGCAGCCGGCAAGGCGAGTACCACCAAAACCACGTGTTGCGTAATCTGTACATTCAGATTCGTGCTGTTACGTCGGATTTTCTTGCTAAAAAAAATTCTCATCTGTCGTTACTACTTTCGGTGGAATTTTATCCGACATTTGTGACTTCTAAGCGTGCATGGAAATGAAGATCACGGCGGTGCGGTTGTTCATGAAAGTGCTTTTTGGACAATTTTCAAGGTCTTATTTTTTTAGACAATTAAATTTATATTTGAGAAAGATTATAAAAATCAGATAATCGAAAAAATAGAGATTCAAGATTTAATGTGGTTATCATCCCCGTCAATTGTGTGTGTTGATCATCCATTGTGATGCACATTAAATTTTTAATTAGGATAATTTTTTTAATGTTTCTTAAAGTAATTTTTTAGTATACATTTTTTTAATTTTTAATTATTTTGGATTCAAATTTAAAATCTTTTCATATAAGTTGGAGAGAAAGGACATAAAATTTTTTTTAGGTTGTTCATATTTGAATTATAGTTCTCTATGTCATTTCATGGGTTAAAAAAAGCTATATTCAAATTCTTAAAACTAGTTATTGTTTAAACTAAAAAATATTATTAACAATTCTTACAATATTTTATTTTTCTTTTATTTTCTTACTATGTAATGACGTGATACTAATATTTCTCAAAATCAATTTGGATCATGTTGGATATATATGTACTATGGAGTATGGAATCTATAGATTTGATATGTCATCAAAAAATTATCCTGATAGGACACGAATCTCGAGACAAAAATCAAGTTGGAAACTTCAAAAATTAAATATGGGATCATCTGAACTTCGATTTCAGCAAACTTATAGTCGAACTAATCGTCTCGGAAATACGAACCCTACGACACCAAATTCGACTCAATCCGAGCTCAAATGGGTCCAAATCAAGGACCTGAAGCGGAAAGTATTTGTGTTACCAAACATGACATGATTATATTCGAATCGAGCGGCTCGACGAGACGAATCCAACGAGCCCAAGATCGTCGAATTTTGATATCATTAAGACCTTTAAATGCCTGACGAACGTTTCACAATCAAGGGATTCAATATCGGTCGTCCATCCAAACCACTCCACATTTGTCCTTTATCCTCCTCCTATTTACAGGTCATGCCACTCTCAAAAAAATATAAATAGCCTCATTTCTCTTAAGGAGGGACCCAAACAAGAAGAATAAGAGAAGAATGAGAAGAGAAGATAAGAAGAATAGGAGTGAAGAAACTCCTCCTCGACCACCGCCGGAATTCTGCCCAACTTCCACGGGACGTCGGAATTCTGCTTAACTTCTACAGTGACACCGGAATTCCACCTAACTTTCTAGTGATGCAAGAATTCTGCCCGACTTCCACGGGACGTCGGAATTATGCCCGACTTCCACAGTGATGGTGGAATTCTGCCCAACTTTCCAATGACGTCGGAACTCTGTATGATCTCTAAGTGACGCTGGAATTCTGTCTAATCTTCAAGTGATTCTAAATTCATCTCGAATACACAACTTATTTTTAATTGTATTCCAATACGGAAGTGAATCATTGTATTTTGATCGTCGTCCTAAATTTTAAGGACAAGTCATCAGCCTCTTGTATCTCAAGCAACTACTAGTGGAATTTTTTCAACTGGACGTGGCCCCGTGGTTTTTCCCCTTTCCAGGGTTTTCTACGTAAAAATCCTAATGCTCTTTCAACTTCTATTTGTGTACTGAATATCCGTACAACGCTGAGACGAAAGCTTTTTAACTCTATCTCCGTGTATATTCTTGTCCGCAACAAGATTTATTGAGAGATTTGATGGAGAAGTATATAAAGAATAAGGATGATCTACATATGATATTTATTGATTTAGATAAAGCTTTTGATAAATTTCTAAGAGAAGTGCTATGGAGAGTTTTAGAGAAGAAAGAGGTTAATAATGCCTATACTCGAGTCATTGAGGATATGTATGCAATAATTGTTACTTGTGTTCAAACACAAGGTGGTTTGATGAAGTATTTTAATATTTTAGTTGAATTACATCAATGATTAGTTTTAAGCTCATATATTTTTGTTTTAGTCATGAATGTTCTTACTAGACATTTGCAAGAGGATGTACCTTGGTGTATGTTTTTTGCTGATAATATTTTTTTTGCTGATATAACTAGAGAGGGAGTTGAAGGTAAACTTGAATTATGGAGATCAACCTTAGAATCTAAAGATTTTTGTTTGAGTAGATCTAAAACTAAATACATGGAGTATAATTTTAATAGTAACAAATCTAGTGGGAGGATTGTGCCTTTGGGCTATCAAGTCATTAATAAGAGTACACATTTTAGATATATCGAGCTATTATCTAAAGTGATGGTGAAATAAATGAGAATATTATTAGTATAATTCAAGTTAGATGGTTGAAGTGGATGATTGCATTGTGCTTGTTGTGTGATAAAAAAGTACGCATCAAACTTAAGGGAAAATTCTATAAAATGGTGGTGAGACCTGCAATGTTTTATAGAACGAATGTTGGTCATTAAAAGGGAAGCATAAAATTAAGTTGAGTGATGCAGAGTTGAGGATGCTCATGTGGATGACTGGCTTTACTCTTAGAGACAAAATGCAAAACGAGCATATACGTGAAAAGGTTGGAGTAGCTTCAATGGAAGATAAGATTTGAAAGATTGGCCTTAGATGGTTTGAACACATAAAACGTCGGTCTTCCGATGACCCAGTTAGCACAGTAGATGTGTCAGATTTGGCCTATATTAAGAAAAGTAAAAATATACCTAAAATGACTTGGCTAGAAAATATTAGAAGTGACATTTTTTAATTAAATTAAAATAAGAATTTGACTCTTAATATGACACAATAGAGAAAATGTATTCGTGTATCCAACCCCATATAGTGAGAAAAAGGCTTGATGTCGTTATTGTTGTTGCAATCTTTTCTCAACCTTTTTTTTTTAATGAAAAGGAAGAGATCAACTAAACCTCAAGTCTTACTGGTTCACAAACCATTGCCATTAATGAAATATGAGAATTTGTTGTTAATCAAAAACCTTGTTGCTAATTATAAACCTTTACAAAGTAATTAAATGATTTCAAGATTAAAGTTTTAAGGCACTGCTCAGCTTTTTTATTCAAACAAGGAACAACTACTTTGCCACATTAATTTATTATTTCAAAACAATTAAAAGGCATTATCAAGAGAGTTCTTAGGTTAAATTAGCAAAAAAGATCTCAAGTATAGAAAAATAAACATGCAACTTACATTCTATGCATGGTTACTTCTCACACTCATAAATTCAAGATTTATATTTGTATGAATCTATGTACAAAAGGAGCTTCATATTTAAGAATACAGTGGCCCAATTTCACATTTATTATGATCAAATTAATTCTAGATCATGAACATTATGTGAATGAACAAAATATTTTCTTAAAGGCCATTTGGGATCATTTTATTATTATTATTTTTATATTTTTACATGAAATAAAATATATTTAATGCATTAAAAATATGATTATTTTTTTTATTTTTTATTTAATATCAAATAATTAGATTCATGATGTGGTAGAGGCAGTCAACTGCAACATAGCAATAGTGAGCGGCAAGGAGATGATAGCGACAACAACGGTGACTACAGTGGTGGAGTTTCATTGTGATAGTCGTTTTTAAAAATACTCAACACATTTCTAAGTTATTTTAAGTATTTTAAAAAACAACTTGATTTATGTTTAAAAATTTAAAATAGCTTAAAAATACATTAAGCAAATATATTTTTTAAAAAATAAAAAAACAAAAATGATCCCAATCAATACCTTAAAAGTCTAACCTCTAAACAAAACAACATCATTACTCTTATGTATGTACTCTAATGTGAATCAGCATCATAACAAGAAGACCCATTGATTCAGCAAACTCTTATCAATTATGCAGTGGATTAGGTCCCTCAGGCACAGTTCTTCCAGATACTCCATATATTGATCCTCTATCATCAAGTGCTTTAGATGGTGATATATTGAAATTATTCCTAGCAGCCGCAGCAGCAGCAGCAGAAGAAGAAGAAGAAGAAGAAGAAGAAGAAGAAGAAGAATCTCCACCTCTCCAGCTTTTCTCTTCTTCAGCAATTATTCTGCTGTAGCTGGAACCAGTGAAAGCTGCAGAAAGAAGAATTATCAGGATGAAATTGGAAATAAGTGGGCATGGGAAGAGTTTAGACTCCATAAGGTTTAAAGATAGAAATCATAGAAAGAGAAGGAGATTGATTGAGTTGGAATGTGCAGAGAATTTAGGCAGGTAGGAGTTGTATTAATAAGAGTAATCCTAGCATGGGACCAGCTGTAGATGTGCTGGGAAAGAAAGAATAAGTAGGGTTCACATTTTGTGAAACCATCAAATAGTGTTGGTTTAGGATAGATTATTAAGTGTGGAGTCCGGGCTCCAATCACGTGAAGATACCTGGATTTTTTCTCTCTTGGGCATACCCTATGTGCAAGAAACAGAAAAAATACCGGTGTTCTCAGGTGATTGGAGTTTGGATGGTGTCCGGACTCCTACAATAGAGTTTTGAGCACGGTTCATGAAGTATATTCTAATTTTTTTTCTTTTGCTAGTGTTCCAGTTGCTTGTAAAACCATTGTATAACTATTATGAGAAAATAGGATTTTGAAAAAATTGGACAACGGCTTCCTTATAATCTCTTTAGTTGATATGATCGTTAAAAAGTCATTCATATCATAAAAACTTATAAAAATTAACAAAAAAATGTATGGCCTATTTGAGATAGCTTTCTGATTATTTTATTTTTTAGACAGCAATTATATTTTCGTTTGGCCGATACATGCTTGCTGTTTTAAAAAAAAATTATGATTGAAAGCTAATTTTGCAAATTGAGAGTTTGTTCTTACTGTTTTCTAAAGCAGCTTTTTAGTATAAATTTTTTTTTGAATTAGAATTTTTATACTAAAAAATAGTTTTAAAAATCAGTAAGAAAACTATCCCAAACAAAGCCTGAATTACTAAAGTGTGGGAGCTATAAGAAAACTATTGTCCGATTCTCCAAAATAAAAGATATTTATATTACCCACAACATCTTCTAAGAAATTATTTTCCTCAAAACAACTTCATAATCATCTTTATAAAAATTTCACCACCTCTCCAACAGACCATTAGTCAAATAAAATAAGACATCTAAAAAATTTATTAAAAAAATAAGACTTTGGATTAGTCACATTCAAATATGAATGAATGGATTGGGAATTTTATTTGGTCCGGTTGACCGAATGTAAGAAACATCCGGTTGTAGGCAAAAACGCGCCTATACCGAGGTGTGCCGAGTTTTTTTCATAGGCGCGTTTTTGCCTACAACCGGATGTTCCTCTGCATCCGATCGGAGGACGTAATAATTGTTCGAATGGATTGAGAGACAACTGTGCTTTATTTATCTATGTAGGATTAGAGTTACTATTCTCATAGGATGATCATTGATGTCAACTATTAATAGACTCATCATAAAATATCTTGCATGATTGCCTAAAAGAGAGGCCACATGACATTATAAAATATTAATTAGATTTTATACACATTTTAAATAGTTTTAAAAAAAATATATTATATATGAGAGAGATGTAAATATGATATGTACTAATTTTGTGATGATGATGTTGATTGTGATAAGTATAAGAAGAATGATAAATATATCACATCAAAAGTTATATCATTCTAATTTCTTATCCATTTTTTTTTTTTTATATAAATATGACAATTTTGAGAATCAAAGCAACCATTATCAACTTGATTGCTAATCATGCACTGACCACATAATATAACTTCATAGATTATTAAATGTTTTTTTTTCTTTTTTGTAAAGAGCTTAAGGTTTCATTTAGGACTGTTTTCTTACTGCTTATTAAATCAATTTTTTAGTATAAAAATTTAATTTTTATACTAAAAAGTTGAAAAATAGTAAGAAAGTCATCACAAACGTAGCCTAAAGCTTCATTTGGGATAGCTTTTGACCACTATTTTTTTATTACTTCCAAAAAAAATTTATACTACAAAAACAAAGTAGAGAGTACTGAGAAAACTGCAACAAACTAAACCTAAATTAGATCAAACATAAATTTAGATAATAACATGACAATTACATAATTATATTTTCATCTCTATCACTATAAAGTAATACAATTCTCTTATAATTTAACAATACGTTTCTATACCCTAAATGGTTTTTTTATATAATTATAAAATAATTAACATAAAATGTAATTATCCATAATTAATGCTATAATTACAGCTATGGCCCACTAATCTAACTTTTCAGATGGTGCTAATACAACCATAAATAATGGCTTAATTAATTGAGACAGGTGAGAAATGTGATGGGACATCTGCCAAACATGGGCATATAATTAGCACATAATCCCGTGATTAGTTGGTAATTAATATTGGATTAATAGTGCTTCTGATATTGTTAAATTTTTAATTATTTTTAATTTTATTTTTGGCAAGCCAGGAAGGCCATAGAATCATGGTAATGATGTGGCTTATTTAAAGACATGCAAATTAAGTTCTAATTATGGAGTCATTAATAAGCACATAAATGCAACCTAATCATTTGTCACATTTGATTTGGAAAAATAATTAGATAGGTTTTTTTAATAAATAGGAAAATGAAAAGTTTTACTTAAAATATATCTGATTAAAAGTTGATGATCTTATGTTAAACTAACTTGAAAATTGAATAATATATTAGTAATTAAATTAAATTTATTTTATATTCCTTTTAAAATATATTTAATAGTTATAAAATTAATATTGATCAAATTTAAATTATGATACTATTACACAAATGTTTTTCCAATAGAATTCTATATAAAAAATTTTAAAATTTGATTTCTGATAGACAAATTTTATAAGAAAATGTTTATATAAATAAAATACATTTCTGAAATTAACTGTAAATTATTAGTAGTTCTCTTGTTATTTATTTATGATATGAATTTCCACAAGGTGGTTTTGCACTGGATTGAGTTAGAATAATAAAAATGGCAGGTGAGAGATGTGAATAAAAAGAGCAGTAGTCTGAGTTATATAAATAAGAATAAATGATTAAATAGGCAATGCAACTTGTTGGTGTGAAAATATACATCATCAAAATCGGCTTGAACAAACACGAATCTCAAAGTAAATTTAAATTAAAAAAATTTGGATTAAATTCAGTACAAGTCAAAATTTGTTTTCAACAAAAGTTATAGTTAAGATGAACGTTTAGATAAGACGAACTCAATGACATCAAAAGTGGCCCGATTCGAGTATGTATGAGCTCAAATCAAACACTTGAAATGCAATTGACACCCAAAGTGGCCTAATCCGAGTTCGAATGAGCTCAAATCAAGCACTTGAAATACAGTTTTTGAACACTAATTGAAATATCGAGTGATCTCCAAATCCCTAATGTTTGTAGTCAAATTGTACGTCTTAACAAGATAAATCCAATGAGCTTATAATTATCTAATTCTGACATCTTTAAAGTCACTTTCGCTTAAACATTGAATGAGCATCTTATGATCAATGGATTTAGCATAGTTGAAAATTTTGAAAGACTAGTTGAATGCCCAAACAATCTCCAAATCCTGCATTCTTATAGTTCAATTGAATGTCTTGACAACATGAATCCAACAAGCCTAAAATTATATAATTATACCATCATTAAGTCACTTAAATGCTGAAAGAACATCTTATGATCATCGGGTTCTATATGGGTCGTCATATGGAATATTCTAAATTTTGGCTATATTTCTAATATATAACACTAAAAATTTGATACATAAGCCAACATGCTTAACATGAAAGAGAGGCTTATACCTTAACTTGATATTCAAGCATGCACAAAGGGCTTGAAGAATCCTAGAACACACCCAAACACCACCGCTCAAATGCCACGACTAAACACCCACCCAACCACCATTATCGAACCAAAGTTGGGTCACCATTGGACAATCATCCGACCACCACCACAGAATCATCACCTGACTACCATCATCAAATCATCACTCGATCGTAGCTATAAAAATCATCATCATCTGACCACCATCATCAGACCATCAACACTCACCTCTATTATCAAACCACCGTCACCCAATTATAATCCTTCGATCATTATGGCCAAATAAAATCCATTGATCACCATCACATGACAATATTCATCTGTCGTCTACCATCATCCTACTATGATCCTCTAACCACTATCACATGATTATGATCCTCAAATTATACTGACATCCACTGACTTTGTCACCAGCCTTCACCAACAACAACAACAAATGCCATCACATATAAAGCAAATGCACCATATAAACATCATCTCCAACATCCAAAATCAATACCAAGTTTCATACTTGACTTCATGGTCACTAATTTTCCCTCATCAAAAGAAGAATGACTAAACATAGCCAACTATGTCACAGGGCTTTTCAATTGCCCCCACGAAATTTGTTTTATACAGTTTCTGTAGATATATTTGAGAAAATTGAAAGATAAATATTGTCTAAAACAGATTAATAATAATTATCTGAAAGAAAAGGACTAAAATCTAAAGAAAGCAAGCAAAAAACAGACAACATTATACATACAGTAACATACAACATCTAAAGTTTAAAAAGTACAAATGCAATGACATATAAAAATAATGGAGACCAATGCAATCAAACTAACATAAACAAAACCATAGAAAATTTTCCTAACCAACCCATCTACTAAAGATCTTCTCTAATAATTTCTATAAATAATCTCAGCTCCCTTGCCTTCCTCGCATGTTCAGGCGACAAAACCTCGGTGTCAGTCTCACACAAATCAATCATGTTTATTTGCTGGTTGGTAACGTCATTGGATCTTGCATGTTTGGATGCCCGGAGAGGTGGGGAAGGAGATGACAGATCAATAATCTCAATTCCCATTTCATGAAGGTAAGGTGCAGGACAACATTGGGAAGGCCTGGGAAGGGAGTTACTCTGTGATTCTATGTCAAGGAGCAGACCTTGAAGCTGGAAATCAACTTTGTTAACATCAACATTTGAATCCTTAATAGGTATTTGTTTTCTGGTGTTTCTTTTCTTCGCCATAGCTTTCTTCTCTCTGAACTCTGCTATTTTTTCGGGGCAGGCACTAGAAAGCATTGGAGGAAGACATAAAAATAAATAAGTATGAAGAATGATTGAAATAATAAAATATTACATGAATGATGACGATATGAATTTTCAAGTTTAGGTAGCTTAGAAAAATTATGTGCGGACACCGGACAAAGTCCGGAGACCAACCAAAACACGCCAGTTATTTTTTTGCTCAGTAGCGGTGCTCAATTATGCTCGGTACCGGGTGATGTGACGTGTTCAGTTGGTTTCAAGACCGTTCAGTATCCCCACAGAATAATTCCTCCTGATTATGAATGGAGCATTTTGCTACTCATACTTGGCTCATCAAATCTGGAAATTTCGCAAATAGATTAATAAGAAGAGAGAAAGCATCTTTCAGATTTGATTGCTAGATGACAATATTTCAGTTAAGGCATTCATAAATGAATGCAAAACATTGACCTGAGGTAGAATGGAAGTTGCTCAAAAAAATTTGGGCAGAATAATTTTAACACTCGACAGAAAAAAAAAATGGAAAACAATTCATAAAGTGAAAACCTAAAAGTTGGGATGAAAGTGAATGCTACAAAGAACATCACATCAACTATAGAGCAGAAGCAACCCCTATAACATTAAAATGACTTGAACAAACAAAGAATAAGGCAAAAGGGATAAAAGTGAATACTACAAAGAACTGGGAAGGAAGCAGAAATGGCCATTGGAAATAACGAAATATGTTTGCGCAGTGAGGAGGAAGTTTTGAAATGTTTGGTACTTTTAATGCCAGATAATTGCTAACAATTACCTTCCAATTAGATCAGCAGAGACAATAGAGGTCTGAAGCCCTTCCATATCTTGCCAAGAAACCTCAAAGCATTCTTTTCCCTGTAATTTCCGCTGCTTAACAATTGCAGTTACAGGGCAGGGCACCGGAATCTAGCAACAGGAACAACATACTATGAAAGTAAGAATTAAATTAATTTATTGTCAAATAATGAAGTTTTATGGACTTGGACCTTGTGCAATGGAATATTTGCTCCGAGTTCGGATGAAGTATTACGCAGATTCGCAAACCGTCTGAGATTTCTCTCAGCGATCTTTGGAAGGATGTATTCATCTGAAAGAGCAGGAAGATAGAACCAAGCATATAATGTGAGCTTTTAAACCACAATAATGCGCCCACAACATGTTTGTTGTACAAAATGGTGTTGCACCAGCAAGTAGGAAGAAATCCTAAATTCTAGAAAATGAACAAATTATGGCATGGAAAAAAGGTAAAATGAAGGGACGACCAGTTTTCTCAGGAGTCCATCCAAATGATACAGCACAAATCTGTTGAAGCCTTGTCCTCAAAAATGGATATGTGCTGCATGCACTGCAAAAATAAAAGGAGGAAAAGGTAACATTAATGTAAAAATTAAATACAAACTTGAATAAAACCTTGAAGAGAAGAAAACAATCTATCCACGAGTCAAAAATAAGTTTATTTAGATTTAAAAAATGTTGTAATCAAATCTTTAACAATTCAACATTTGATTAAAGTTGTGAATATTCATATTAGAAGCATAACAAAACAATCTAAAGAAATAACATTAGATAACATGGTGGAACTTGACAGGTGCAATTAAATCTTTTGAGAAAGCTTGTTTAGAGAGAGATTTGATAATAGTGTAATGTGTGGAATATGATTGTGTTGATCAATCTGATTTTTCAGTTGCCTCGAATCTCAAGTTATAAATATATGTTTAGGAATACGTTTGGAGCAACAAATTGATAAAATTTACGATTTATGATTTTCCGAAAAATTTGGATTTAATTAAATCCAAAAATTAAGATTAAATTATTTAAAATTCATTAAGTGTTGTAAGAAATAATTAATGAAAAAATGATGTGTTTAGGCTTAGGACTTAGATTCAGCCTTAATAAAGATTGAATTATGTGACATGTATCTTTTGTAAATTTTCTTAGGTTGTGATCGTTAAGGTGTAAGGTGAAAGAGCTGTGTCGAAGCGACACTTTGAGAAAGTATCGTGCTTAAGGGAGGTAGGTACTTGTATTTAAATCAAATTTATGTCTCTAAATTTTTCTAAATTTCCTCTTATGTTAAATAAAATATGTTCAGCTTATAAATATTCTAGTTCATGCAATTATCACATATTTGATTTTTCTTTATGTTATTACGCAAGAAAATATTTTATATTTGTTTATTGTCTCATAACTGGAATTTTTAGACAGACATGAGAACATTTATGCATGAAACGAATTGAACGAACACATATGAAATTCTGAATAACTTAAGCCCTATGAGATCTATTATAATTGCATGTGCATGTTGATCCGGAAGTGCCAAAATGGTAATGGGGTTCCACGGAGCCAAATGGTAAAGGGACTTGCAAAAGACAAATGGTAATGGGGTTCTTCGGAGCCAAATGATAAATGAAATGGTCAAAAGACTGTGTACCTGATCAGTACAAATACGGGTACTTCGGGGACGGGTATATAAATTATGATTTAATATTTTATGCATATAAATGAAAGTTTTGATGAAAAGGAAAAGTTGATGAAAAGAAAAGTTTATGAAGAATAAAAATGTTTAAGGAAATAATTAAAGAAATTTTTGTATGAAAAGGTTATCCAATTTATGCATATCAATGTTTGATTTTAGTTTCTCAAAGTTTTTAAATGAAAATTTCATGATAAATGTTTTGTTTTTAATTAAGTCATGAATTTAAGATGAATACATGTTACCTGCTGAGCGTTGGCTCATCCTACATTTGAAAATATTTTTCAGGAGAAATTAAGAAGTGATGACTACACGACGACAGTATACCTACCGTCGTAAAGGACCTCAAGAAGAAACGTTCTTTTTATGTTTCTGTTGAGTCAGAGTTTGAGTTCAGTAGTATGTACCTGTGTATGAACAGTTTATTGAAGTTTATGTAATTGTGTATTTTTATATTTTAGTAGCAAGGGTGCGAAGAAACAGTTTGGAATATTTTAAATTTGAAGTTGTTAGTGGCTCTTTCTTATTATGACATTGATGTTGTTTATTTCCTGTTATATGAGTAAATGAGAATATTGATGTTTTATATGTGCTTTCCGTACGACCGACAATTCCCGCCCGTTTTTTTTGGGCTAGCCGGGCCGGGTCGTGACACTGGTGAAGCCATATTGCATAATGCACAATACAGTGCACGTACTAGCTTAAACATGGCACAAAATATCAAAAATTATAAATCAAAATTCAGGTAAATGAGAAAGATTATTAAATTGAAAGATAAACTATCATAATCATAAAAATAACAAAATTGATACCTAAGTCCAAGTGCTCAAAACATTTTCAAGAGTGCTAGTTGAACGGTGAAGTCTTGTGGGTTGAGTGTGGCCTTTTGAGGACAAGGCGTGGCGTTTTATGATATTTGACGACTTTAAGTGACAAAATATTTATGCAAAACTTGACTTTTAAGAGAACTTTACTTCGTTTTTTACACATGTTCAGGAAATGAATAAACAATTAAACTACTATGCAAGATGGATTTGATCATCAAACAATTTAATGTAGTAGTTCATAATCAACGATAACATTCTGTGTTTAAAGATTAAGTAAAATGACAAGCAAAAAAATAAAATTAGAAGGAGACAAGCCCATTCGACCCTATCTAGTATCTAGTACCTCTGTACAGCTTCCGAATCAGGTAAGTGACATTTTGGCTTTAGATAAGCATTTATAACATCTAGTACGTGGTCATTTGGTCCCAGTTTCTTGTCACTTTCTGCACCATAAAAGCCATTATTACAATAGTCTCGCAGTTTGACAGACGACTAAAATATTGAAGACTAATTCTGATAAATATTTTATGAGAGTATGGAAAGTATGTGATGCAAAGCTAGCAGAAACATCAACAAAATTGGTTCTTGAACAAGGCGGTTTTTGTAAGCAGTGTTAGACAAGCTAAGCAATTCAAAAGAATATTTGAGACTTACATGCACAGAAAATAGGGAAGCAAACAATTTTGAAACAATCTGGCATATATGCGGTCATAAAAATGTACGTAAAAGAACTCTAGTGATCATTTATATAAAAACAAATATATGCTCGCATTCTTGAGTAGAAGGTGGACACTCAGTGCATCTCCAAAATGAACAAATGTCACATGCTGCTCTCTTCAATAAAGATTTAGTGACGAGTACATCAGAGGGTGTGCAAGGAAATAATTACTGCAAGAACCAAAGGAATTAATATACTTAGCCGTAATACTATTTGAGCAGGGAGGTCATCTTCAAGATTCAAGCCTATAACTTAAACCACAATGAACAACATAGAAGGTGTAAGAATTTTTGCATAAGATGAATGTACTCAAGCCTAGACTACTCCTGGGTCAGTCGAACAATTGTTGTAGTAATCTAAATAGAATTACATAATATTAAAAAGTTCCATTGAAATAATAGATTCAATAGAAGATCATGTAAAAGTGAATTTTTAAAATATAAAAAAAAATATAATTAGAGAATGATATCAAGGAAATGGAGAACAAAGGCTGAGAGCTTCCTACCAGCCATATGTTGTTTGTAGCATATAAGATTTTCCTTATCTGCATTGCAATTAAGAGACTTAACGGTTTTTTTTGCTTTGGACTTCTTTTTTGCAAATGCTAATCCCTCTAACTTGACTTTTTGCAGAATGTTGATATCTCCAATTGATTTAACAAGCTGGCATGCTGTTTCCTACAGCAATTAAATTTTCAAAGGCAAGCAAAGTTGCTTCTGATGACGATTAAACACAAATAATATTCACAATAGACAACAAATATTAAGTGAAATACTAAAACATGTTCAATAATTAATGTGATTTGCATTAAACATAAATGCTGGACATTTTTCAACTTACAGGACCAAAGCCGTAGACTCCTTGAGAGTAATCACTGCCAAGGAGGAGAGCCAATGTAATCTGCAGCATATGAATTGATCAACCAATCATATGACAGAGAGTGTAAGAAGTGTTAAATTTAAACAAGGGAATAGATAAGTCCTCGACTTTTTCAATGAAACAAATAGCTCATGATCGTTTAAAAACACCAAATTGAGTGATTGAGTTCAAATTGTCTGAAAAAAGTTTTGGTTTCTTATACCTGACAAACAATTTCGGCCACTAAGAGCTGTTGACTTCTACCAGGGGTGGTCAGATGGTCCCTGGTACTTTAAGGATGAAATATTGAGCGAAGGCACACTAAGAGAGGGGAGGGAGTGCAAACTCTCGCTTAAATTTTCTTTTAAAACTCTTCTAATTCAATCCCGCACAATATACGCATAGAATACTATAAACACAAACAAAGCAAAGAACCTTTGGATTATTAATTGCATCATTGAAACATGCTGAATTTTTTTTATCTTAAGTTCATTTTGATGAAAGACAAGCATGTAGGCCAGATTATATTATATATTTCATTATAAACATGCCCATTTTCTTTAAACATGCTTTAAATATTTCGTATAGTATATGGTATCCATGGGTGTGTTTGTATGTTTGTCGGCATGGAGATGACTGATGGACCGGCGCCTGGACCCGTGCGGGTCTATAGGCGGAAGAAAAGGGGAGGGGGTGGGCTGGCTGGACCAAAGGGACCCACCACTTAAGTGGGGGTATTTTGGGGATGGGAGGGATTTTTCAAAGAGTATGAAGGGAGCCATTAGGGTTTAGTTTTGGGGCATTATGAAAAGTGTATTCTCTTTCTAATTTTTCTTCCTCTAGTCTTTTTCTTGTGCTTTTCTAGAGTTTTCTTGTGGGAGATCTTGTCCTTCTCGAAGTGGACAAACTTATCTTGTTTTCTCTTGGCTTTCTAATGCAAAGGTTCTTACTTTTCGTCTCAACCCTCTTGTGAGTGTTTCTCATTTGGTTTTGGTGGAGAAATTTCTCCTTTTGGAGGAGAAATTAGGGCAAACCCTAATTTGTGAAACCTAAGGCGTATCAATGACATGAGACGAACATAGAGGAGCTAGCAAGAGCAACGAGTGAGTGGCATATCGCCTTGAGCCCATCTCTGATAATACTTGATAGGTTCGCTGGTTAGAGAAATAAAAGAACAAATAGAACAAATAACTTGTGACCATAATCATTCCTACAATCCCCACCTCCCTCATAACAAAGCCAAAACCCTTCGCACTAGCTATTCACGTGATCCAATGGCCCCTTCAACATCGGGCCATCTATTTCATATAGTACCTCACAATCACCCACATGATTTGCCCAACAATGGCATCTCATGCAACTTAGGCTTCGTTTGGGACGACTTTCTTATTGCTTCTTAAAGCAACTTTCTAATACAAAATTAAAAAAATTTGTACTAAAAAACTGCTTTAAGAAGCAGAAAGAAAGCCGTCCCAAGCGTAGCCTTAGTGTCCTCCCCACACACGCCTCCATACAATCTTTTAGCATGAAACCACACCACCATGCCAACGACCACAACAAGACCCTAAACCTTGAACCTCTTATTTTGATCACAACACCAAATCAAGCATGATCTCACTGTCAATTATCCACCCACATGAGCACCAACTACCTTTGCTTTTACCATGATCTCACAACGTTGCCACACAGTAATCCAACTGCTTTCATCACATCCTCGTAGTGTCTACCCTTGTCTTACGCTACTTTCACTCTCATAGCCTAACAAAACATGCACAAAATCCTCCTATTTGCTCACCTTGTTGCATTCTTCCCCCCAAATTTTGCATTCATTTTAAGCTCATGCAATATACAAAGGTGTCATATGCTCCCTATCATGATCTTTCTGAAGTAGTTTAGGAGTCCTCTGTAGCTAGCGAGTAGGGAATTAAAGATGATGTGGGTTGCATTCAATTAAATAAGAAAATTTATAAAATAGGACAAACTATAAAGCATTATATTTGCTAGAAAATATCATACGAGCTCAAGAGAAAAATCCTCTTTAGTTTCGAGAACATATCATGCTGCATAAAAATCAATAAATTATTTCAAGTAATGCAAGTTATAACTGCAGAGAAACCATAAAATGGCCAAAGTAATCTACATACCATCATCATCATCATCATCAATATGATCATTACCCTAATCTCAACTAAAGCAATCTAAAATATTGACAATTTGTTAGTCTTATGAACACACCAGTGAATTTCTTCCAAAGCCAAGTTTCTTCTCTATATCCGCCATATCATAGCAAATTACGTAGCCTCCCTCACCTAATTATCAAACAAATAAACAGATAAATAAAACTTAATGTTTACAAGACAGATATATAACTTCTTATGCTAAAAAAATTAATAATATAAAAATTACAAAATTTCCAGGAGGCAGAATCTTGGATCAAAGCAAGAATCTTACAATGTTAAGTTCCAGAGGATAACTAGAATCCAAAATCACCAATTTGTATATTCCAGACATTACCTAAGAAAATTTCCCTATACACTGTCTTGGCTCCAAAGAGGAATATGTCTGAATCAGACGTGAAACACCCGTCCTGATAACGATTGAAATAGTTACGTTATCTTGCTTATCATTAAATGAGACAAAATAAGCATTCCACTTACACATAAAGATTCTGAGTTCAACAAAGCACATTGTGCTTCAGCCTCTTCAATCCTGATCAAACAAGAAAAGTTTATTCAATAAATGGAACCTTTAGAGTCCAAAGCATTTTTTTATTTTTTCAAAAAAAAAATGAGGATTCCAAGAAAAATCAATTTTATTTTATCACATGAGTACTGTTGAAATTAATCTGTCCTAAGACTGAAAGTATTTTAGAGATTGTAAGACTTTTCCTTCTTCAAGCTTAAGGGCATCTCCAACCAAAAAACTCATTTTTCACTTCAAAATGCAGTAATTGCAGTAAGTTGTCTCCAACTAAACTCCATTTTCTTTAAAAAAAAAAAAGAATATTCCTAGTATATTCTTTACCATATTTCATTTTATATAATTTTTTGAATTAAAAAAAAATAAATGGAGGGTGAACAATGCGACCCCAATATTGGCGTCGCACTGTTCACCTGCGATAAAATAGCGTCAAAATTGCCGCTCAGTTGGAGCGACGGAAGAACAGCAAATAGTTGTTTGCCGTTCCATTGGAGATGCCCTAATGCATGTAATTGTGCACTTACACACAAAAAAAAAACTTATATCTTACAAAAGCAGCTGTTGACCAATATACAAAGAACAAAAAAGGAAAGAATGAAAAAAATCCTGCATACACAAACCTTACACCCGGCGGATCCTCGAATCCTTGCCGAAATCGCGTCGAATCGGCGCCGTTTGAGTCGCATCCCGCGATTTGTGCTCAGAGCCGGCCTCGATCGAGCGTCCGAAGAGGTCGTTAAATAGCGAAGGAATGGAGATGACACTCGCTGCTTCCTTCTGTCTTACCCCGTCCCACTCTCACGGCCAAACCGCGAGACCTCTCCGACCTCCTAAGCCCCGAGCCGCCGCCTGTAGCCTTACCCGACCTCCACTGCCGAATCCCATCTCCCTATCCCGACCTCTTGCTTCCGATCTCGTGAGAGAGAGAGAGAGGGAGAAAGAGAGAACTTCTTACCTCAATACCAAGCTCCTCCATCCAGTCCGCCCGATCTCCCCCCTCCGACGCCGCCCGACGCCGCTCGACTCCGCTCCTTCGAGCGACTTTTCCTCCCTGTAGGACCGGAAGCTACGGCATTTTGATCGGGAGCAAGGGAGCACGCTTGCTGTGAAGGTAAACTTTCTCCCTTACCCGCACTTCTTCGGCCAAATCCCGAAAATTCGCCAAACCAAGGGATTTAATAAATTCGAGATTTAAGCCATAAATCCTTAAAGCCGGGATTTACCCATTGTCGGGATTTAAGGTGCGCACTGAAATCGTTTGGCTGGCTTTAGCCTAAATCCGGCCAAAACTTTCTGGATCCGTTGAACCGAGGAATTGTATGGATTTTTTTCTTTTAATAATTAATTATAATTATGTTAATTAAATATATAGTTTTTTTTTTTTAATTAATATTATGAGTTAATTATAATTAATATAATTAATTACATTTTATTAAAATTAATAATGTTAAATAAGTTATAATTAACTTAAGTTAATTATAATTTATTATGTTAATTAATTTTAGTAAATTTTAATTAATTATTTTTTTTAATTATAGTTAATTATGATTAATTAATTAAAATGATTTATTTAATTAATTATAATTAATTCATGTTAATTATAATTAAACAACTTGCACCTTCTTCCTTGCCTCGACATCCGTGCCCTCCACCGCCGGTCCGTCAGCCGACCAAGATGATTCTGGAACCTAGGCTTTCTTTCTTACCTCGTCCTGCGTTCAGATCGGCGGTCTGCCTATACACGCTTTTCTTAGCGTGTGGAGGGGCAACCGGCGCGACACCTCACGACAAGGTAGGCGAGCGACCATGTTCAAATCCTTCTTCGAAGTCCGTAACGCACCGGCAAACCACCTATACACGCTTTTCTTAGCATGGTGGAAAGGATCCCGGTGCGATGCCACGACGAAGCGGGGATACCCATAAGTACCCGCTTGCGGGGAAATAACTGCTGTTCTTGCAAAATACTTTCAAAAAATGATTTTCTTGCAAAATATTTTCAAAAAAATACCCATATACGCTTTTTTTAGCGTGGTGGGGGATCGAAAATACCACGCCACGGTGTTCCTCGAAAGAGGCACCTACCATACACGCTTTTCTAGCGTGGTGGAAAAAAAGCCCAAGTTTTCCGTAGTTTCCCCTAAACGGGGAACAGCCGAAAGCTGCCCGAAATTTGGTGAACTTAATGTTACATTGGACTCGATTGCACTTGAATGACATGCCAAGAACAAAATGCTGGAACTTGATTGAACTCAAAGGACGATCGAACTTGGACTCAGCTTGTGAACATTTGGACTTGATTGAACGGTGGACTCAGACTTATAAACTTGATTCAATCGACCTAAGTGAACTCAAACCCAAACAAATTTTAAAAATATGAGATTTCATTTGATTTAAAAATCAAATGAAAAGAACAATTTGGGACCTGGACTTGATTGAACACAGAAGAACAGCAGAGGACTACACTGACATGACTTGAACTTTTACATTGACTTCAAAACAAGATATGGACTACTTGAACTCTTGCAAAGGACTTGATTGAACTCAAGTGCTTACAATTGGACATGCCATTGAACTTGATTTAACCAAAGGGAAGGGACTTATGAACTTCAAAATGACAAAAGAGTTTTAAATCAATTTGAACCTAAATGAAAAATACAAAAGGACATGCTAAATTTGAACATAATTTGAAAATCATGGGAACTTATAATTGACCAAGGAAGACTTGAAATCAAGTCTAATCAAGAAAGAGACTGAACTTGAACTAAGTTCAAAACCACTCAAAGCTTGATTAGAATTAGATGAAAAGAATCGCAAATTCAAGTTTTATTGAATGATGAAAAGGAACATGATACTCCTTAGATAAGAACATTCAACTCATGGTGATCACCTCAATGGGAGAAGAAATCGATGATGATAAATCAAGCTCTCAATGTCGTTCATGAACGAATGATGAAAACAAAATGGGCTTCAATAGCATCCAACCCAAATTTTACTGAGAATGACATTCGTATCAAATCATCCAAATCAACTCCAAAGATCTGCAAGCACATATTATCACTCTACGAAGACAAATGTATGTGTTAAAATGTCATCTATGGTAATGCAGAAAGACTCAGTAAATCAGTATCCTGAAGTCAATCCAAATCTTAAAGAAGAATCTACCTACCAACATGAGCTTGTGCGATGCACTGGAAAAGACCAAGACCACAACCCAAATGCATAAAAATACGACCAAGTACAAGTTCCACGATCTAAACTAGAATTAGTTAGTGCACTACGGACCCACCTGCCCAGAAAGCAACGAGTAGTGCACGACAGTCTACCATACGAAGCAGGCGAAACAACTCTATTCAGAAAGCTGCCTACGCCACCCCACCCGGATCTGCCCAATATTCTGTACAAGCAGACAAGAAAGCGTCCACAATTATTTCAAATTACCCATGCACATATACATAAATTGTATACACATAGTACACTAAAAGGGGTAAAAAAATAACTATAAAACCCGCATGAATCCCGCGATGTGTTATTGTTACACACGTCGACGTCTAGGATGCTGGCGGTGTACAAGTGAATCAGCGTTCGAAACCGATCCTTCTATACAAAGGTTCAATAGAGCTGACAGGTTCGAACACCATTAAGTAAAATATAAGATGTGCACCCGGTTTATATTGGCTTTAAAATATTTCATTATTAGCCTCAAGGCCTACAACCAATATGGAATTCACTAATAAAGCACGAAGTCTACGAAACCCGATCCTTGTCGACAGCCCGACAAGAGTGAACAGGTTCAATCAACCAAAAGAGAAATTGACCCCAAACCACCCCGATGATGGCTCGTGTTGAATCAGATCTCAACCGGAGGGTTTCTAAAATATTTTCAAAATTCTCCCAAATATTTCCAAAGATCATTCCAAATACTTCAAATGCCCACCCAAAAATTACAAAATTTCCAAAATAATTTAAAATTGAAATCAATCCATCAAAACTAAGCAAAATCATCCGCCCTCCCAATAGTTTGTCAAGGCGGACCAAATCAAAATTTACTCTAGCTCACAAAGAAGCCAAATGCCTAGTCGAAAATATCACTAGGATCCATTCTCAAAACAATCTTTTCGCAGTAAAGACGTGTACGTTCCTCTTAACCGGCAGTTTCGCCGCCAAAAATGGCACTCAGTAGTAAACGGTTATGACCCGGTGCCCTCTGAACCGAGTGTTTTTGCCGCCAAATGCACCACAGATACTTCATGGTCAGAGCCAATTACGCCCTTAATGGCTGTTAAATCCTTGAGATATGAATCAAGTAGGATATTGATTGATGGCACAAAGCCCTTTTTAAGCTAAGGTGGCATTCAAAATTCTCCCTTAGGCAAACACCAACCCCGGTCTATAAGTCCCCTGTTGAACGAAGCACCATGGCTCGCCCTGACAAAGGATCCTTCTGTCAGGTTGGTCGACTACCTCCTCTGACTAAGTGAACCAGACCACCGATGACCCGACGAGAACCATGGATCTTGATCGGCCCATCATCCCATTCCCCCACCATCCGCTTTAATGCTAGATGGTGAAAATTTCTATTTTTAAATTTAAATCTTTTCTAAATATCAAAACTTCCCAAATCCCAAAATCCAAATCCCAGTTCTCAAATACCCAACTTCCCAAATCAATTGCTACCCAGATCCTAAACCATATGCTGCTATTATATTGAACCAATAACACGTTACTCTACGTATCTGAATTGACGACTAACCTTAATCGAAGTTCTCTCTCTGATCGGAGCGGTAATTAAACTATAGGGCTTAGCGCCTATAGAAACCAGAACTCAGATCATAAAGCTCGCAAAATGAGGGCGAAATCTCGGTAGTGTCTTATCTACAAACCCATCTCCTTCCAAAATTTACCTCGGAAAACTTAGTTCGTTTAAAAACTCCCCCGCCGACAACCAAGAAAAACACGAGCCGGCCAATTTTCGGAGCCACAGCAGCACAAGTATAGTTTAAGTTAGTTGGTCACAAGACTCAGAGAACAGACAAACAAAAGATGCATAGTCAGGTCCAAACAAATTGATCGGAACATCGGCACGAAATCTGGCGCATCTATACACAAGAGGCGTCGTTAACTCGACGCTCTAATTTAAGTGTCATTTATGAATTATTTTCTGCTATTTTAGTTTCTTTTATGTTATTTTTATTTTACCCCTAGGTTAATTATCTTTGAGTGTTTGGCCCAAGCGGGCATTTTTGTAATTTCTTTTTCTCATGTTATAGGGCCATAAATAAGGCCTTAAGCATATGTAATGGGGGTTGATTAAGATGAAAAATTTTTTCCACATTTTGCGTTCTTCTTGTGAGGGCGTTAGGGGATTCATATGAGGAATCGAAGTCTTCACCCAGCCGCAGGATGGTTCCGGACCTCGTGATTTGAAGATCCCTTGGAAGGAATCACAACCAACGTGAGACGGTCGTGTTTCCGTTTGATTGCTATCACACCCCTTATTTTACTCCTTCATCCCCAATTCACTCCCCACAAAGTCCGCAAAACGGGATCCCCGAGCGAAACAAACCCTTATAAGGACTGAGTACACTGAACTTCCAATATATAGCCAACACAGAGCCTGATCATTTCAACCAACGACAAACATATTTTTCTGGCATCTCTCATTACAGTCCTGAAGACAGAAAACCAGATTGTAAATTTCA